TTAAGTAATTATAAGTTGAGAATCTCAGAAAATACATGAATAATAAATGCATAATAATTGTGAATTTTATGAAATGTGTAGATAAAAAAACATGTTTAAGCAATTAATTTAGATTATAATTTAATCACTATTTAAATTGCACATAAATAATGTAACCAAAATAATATGAGAAAAATATCTAGGGAAAACGTATAAAATATGATGCACTTTTAACATGTTTTACAAAAGCCAAAATTTTTAGGTATTCCTGAAAAAATTCTTCTCCTCACCTATCTAAACACTTGAGAGTAGAAGTCGATGGCACTGGTAAAGGTGGCTATTGCTCGGAGGAAATCTAGTCTTTAGTAAATCGAAATGTAGCAGCATTGGAGGCTCACGGTTATTTGTTTAAATATTGCTCCTTTTATTGTAATGTAGAAGCATACTTGAAATGAATGCAGTTTATTGTTGCTATTTGGGCATGGTCTATTGGCTCCTTCATAGACGTCCTTCGAAGTGAAGTAGGGTCGAAAATGTATGGGATTGGGATGGAGTAACAAATAGGATGTATCGTACTTGCCTTGTAAGCTATGACTTTGAACGAACTGGTTGCATTTTCCTACATCATTTGGTAACAAAGCTAAAGGTCCCTGCTCGAGTTGATTTTGGAATATTTTCTATTCGGTGGGGTATATAATGCAAGAGCATGCAAGAAAGAGGACTTGCTTATAGTTACTAATCGAGATTGGCCTAATGTCGCCTTTGTAAAGTTTGAAAGTCAAACCCTCTCTTTAAATTAAAATGTTAATTTAAAGATTTCTTGGAGTATGATTTTAAGGATTTTCTGTTTAAAAGAGAAAGCATCTTATATTTAAAGAGCTTTTTGATCATTTGTATCAATTTCCTGATTGCCTTCTCTTAAAACGATGCATTTTATCATCAAGGCTTTAAAATCTTTACATGGTGATAATCTTCGACTCTTCGATCTAGGTGGTGAATTTTATATTGAGCTATGATAGAAAGTTAGATTAACTAAATGTTGGAGATTGGCTTGGTAAGTAATGTAATATTTGAAAGGCCGAAAATTTGTATCAACGA